CCCCAAAACCCCAAAACCCCAAAACCCCGCTGGTATCCTTAAATATTGAAATTAAATGCTAATTCCTGATCTTCCTCCTGGCTCGTTCGAGTTGAGGTTTATTGATATGGTGGAAATTTAGCAATTGGTCGCTTCCATAGACGATCATGACCCTCTTAGCACGAGATAATATCCTTTTATGAGAATGCCTTCGAGCATCCTTGCGTTTTGGGACAACTATTTTGCATTCCTCGTTGTCCTTATATTTTTCAGCAGGCCTAAACTTTCTCTTGATCATTCTGGGCTTCTTGAATCTCACCTTTATTCTAGGATTTGAACGTTTATGACCCAGTTTGGTGTGAGATTCTGTGATAAAACTTCCATTTTCTCTCCTCAAAATTACAGTACGATTAAGAATGTTCCTTTTCTTCCGATTCTTTACGAATGATCGTCATATCTGAGGTTTCTAAAGAGGGTAAGGTTACTCCTTACTTGATTTTTGAAATATAACTCATTTTTAGAAGATTGACGCTTCTGATAAATCCTCTCTCCAACTCCTTTGGCATACTTATGATTAGAATACCTTGTATTTCTTACTTTTGACGAAGAATTATCAATATCTAGACCAATTCAAACTGCCAAAATTTCATAATTCTCAAAAAACAAAAATAAAAATATCCTACCAAAGCTACTTCCAAGTCCTTTTGTCTTATGTATAAACTTCTTCCTCATATTAAGATACTGACTCGACAAAGGTCTGATCAAGCTCTTAGAATTATTTAAATCATCCATTTGCTTCATAACCATAGTCTCAAACTTGTCTAAACCATAACTCCCACACACTACCTCAATCCTTCACAAAACTCGTCTCATTTGAGCTATTTCCTACTAAAACGCCTATTTTCCCCAAATTTCAACTTCTTTCCCCCCATATTCTTCCCTTCAAATTCCCCAAAACCATTCATTTTATTTTAAAAATTCCAATTTTAGTTCAAAAACTTGGGGTTTTGGGGTTTTGGGGTTTTGGGGTTTTGGGG